GTACGTACGTTACGTACGTACGTAGAGTAGTAGTAGAGTAGTAGTAGTAGAGAGAGAGAGAGAGAGAGAGAGAGAGAGAGAGGAGGGGGGGGGGGGGGGAGGGTGGGAGGTGGTATCTAATAGACTAGAAGAGCCTAAAGACAGGCATTGCTCTTTTCCCATTGGTGTGATTTAGATAGGAAAGGAGGTGCCTCTCCAGTAGTGTGATGGTGTGATTTAGAGAGAGAAAGGGAGGTGCCTCTCCCATGTGATCTAGAGAGAGAGAGGAGGCACCTGATTTAAGAGAGATTTTTTTGCTTAGAAAGAGACTTAAAACCTCCCTAGAACAGCAACTAGTATGTAAAAGCTGAAACAAATGAAAAACGCAACAGACAGGGGCTGAAATAGCCTCAAGTACTGGTGGATTGTTCTAATCCATGCGTTCTGCTATAGGGAATTGCTGGTTCTTGTCAACCAGCGATTCCCTTGTAGTCTCAGCTGGTTCCTGATATATTTAGGGAACCTGCTCGGTACTGAACGATTCATGTGTTGGATCTGGTGATTCCGATCTGATGGCATTTTTTAACGTTGATGAAAGCTAACTGCTTTGAACTAATCAACAATTATGACTATGGACACAAACTTGAGTAAGTACAAGTCATTCATGCTCTTTAAAATGCGGTGCGCTCGTCAAGGCTTCTAGACAGTTCTAAAATAGTCAACATGGCTCCAGCATATTGGCATTTCTATTTGGATTGCTGCTATGACTGAATTTAGTACTCTCATCTTCATCCTGTTTCCTTGTGTAAGATATCTTTATGGTCACCTTTATTGTGGATGAATTTCCTTTTGCCCTGCAGCTTTCCTCAAGCAGCAGCTGCAGCCCAAGCTGGTGCGTCAGTAATCCAAATCTTTGTTGGCCGTCTCAGAGTAACTTCTTCCTTTCCTTAACATTGAATGAAGTTCAGAGTCCTTATATAGAAGTGAAGGGATGGACCTTGATATGATATTCAATTTCGCAGGACTGGGCACGCAATCATTCTGGTGATGCTGAGGTTGAAGCTGCATGCCTAAAAGGAGAAGATCCTGGAATTTCACTGGTTAGTCCTTTAAATCTTCTTCATAATTATTGTCCATCTCTATTTGTTTGTTGATGATCATTTATACAAGATCTGAAACTTGCAAGGAATGGGGTTGAGGTCAAGGTGGTAGCACCACCTGTGACTCAGCTACCAGTCTCGGCTTCCATTCCTATCCATACTAACCCCTTTCGTAAAATACTAACGGTTTCAAAAATTGCTAACCCTCTACTAACAGTTCACAAAAAAAAAAGATCTGAAACTTTCGGGAAAGGGTGATTACTTTGAATTCTGTTGCTCCATATGCCTTTATGTGGATGACTTTCATCTTCTTTTGAGTGTTTGGAGTAAAAAACTTCTTAGTTATTGAACCTATTGAATTATTGGTCCTCATACCCCTAGCTTATTCGCTGACACACTTTCTTAACCGGGGGTCACTCTTTCTGTCTAACTGACAATATACCTAGCTGTGGCCCTCTTCTGTATGTATTTGAATTTGTTGACGTACAGTCAACATTGCTTTACTTATTGAGAGGCTAGTGTTGTTCTTCTGAAGCATATTTAATTCAAAGATCATAGGCCTGCTTCCATTTGTAGTGGCTCTGGTGCAGCCTTATTTCGCTTGAGACCATTATATATTTGGTGATCAACCAAAACGAACACATTCATCAGGATGCAACCTGAGGGATCACATCATACATTGGTCCCATGAGACACACATAAACACATGCACATGTACACACATACCCACCCTCAGACACGTACATACACTCATACAGCATACATACATATATGAAAATCCATAAGCCAAGGGCCTGACCACAAAAAAGGAGTCTATACTGTAGCTACAGGGCAGAGGGCCTTTGGGGCCTCGTTTGACCCCAAAACTTGCGATCAATCTTTAAAAAAAAGAAAAAAGTAATTTAAATTCCCTGAAAGTGCTTCAATGGAGTCTACCTCAAATAGCGAATGCAGACCATCATTTTGATGGGCATTGAGGTCTAGGGTTTTAAGAGCTCAGAATCGTTTTGTTTTAGTAAATTGATGACAAGGTGAAATCGAGTTTGTACTGAAAATTTTCATTTGGTAAAAAGCCCCATATGTTTTGGCCACTTGGCCTACACTTTGCTAATAGCTGCTTAGAAGTTGGGCATAAAATTCTTTTTTCCCACAGACTGACATACAAGAAAAAGATTATGTGATCTAGCCCAACGATATAATGAGGCGGTCCAGCCCAGAAATAAATGGGGAAATTTTTTTGGAACTGCAAATTCTCTGATCTTCTTCGATTCACCTTCATAACAATTTAAAAAAAAAAAAAAAATTCTTTTAAGCTCTTGAAAAGTACATGCATCATCCCTCAAAATTCAGAGATAGTCTTGTAGGGCCAATTGATTTGGAGCTTTCTAAATATCCAAATTATTATTATTCCCAATTATTATTATTATTTAAGGGAGTTTATCTTGAGAGTTACTAAAGTTGATATGGAAATTTAAGATTAAAAAAAAAAAACTCTGAGTTATGTGTTTGATGGCCTCGACCATGTGTTTTAGATGGTTGGGCTGACTGGTTGGGCTGACCATGTAATTGGTCCGGTCCCCCAACTGGTGAGGATTTGGTCCAATCAAAATCGGTTGAATCAATTGGATTGGATTCAAACATAATAGAGAAAAAGTGAGAGTAATAACTGAAAAATCAAATATATTACAAAAATCTTGCCCAATCTAGTCTAATTGGTCAAAACCGGTTCAACCGTCCAAAACCAATTAGACATTGGTTTTGATTAATTTGCAAGTCCAGTTTTTACTTTGGACCGGATCAACCAAAGCATTATTGGTAGTATGACCGGTCAAATCGGTTGGTCAAGTCAGATCTTGATACTATATGTATGTATGTATACTTTTTTATTAGGCTACTCCATTTGTTTATTTGGCTACTCCATCTCATGGAGTATTTTTCTAACCTATTGAACACATTACCCATACACTTACATTTCAATACAAAAGGTTTTTGAGCAAGGGCACTTTTTGTTATTAGCGAAGAGTAGGATTGATATTTAGAAGAGAATAATGGCATTGTGTTAGTTGCTAGAAAGCAATTGACGCTCTATATAAGTGATGTCAGTCCTTAATAGTTAATAAATGCTTCTATTTCTACTAAATAATTTCTAGTTTTCCCTTTATTGATAATTTTAAAATACCCTTAGACAAAAAGGTGCTATAATATGGAGCAAGGATAACAATTGTCAGAAAACATTGAGTACGTTATGCACACACCCACACATGTGCATGCATGTAGGGTATTGTTTACATAAGCCATCAATCTTAACAATCAAAGTGAGGCACACCTCCAAACCCTACCAAAAGATGCAGTTTCGATGCTAAAAACCTCTATGATGGATTGAAAATCTATTTCCACCCCTAATTATAAAATTTAAAGCTTCAAAAAAAGTGCAGATTCAACATATATATAAACTTTTAAAAATATTGAAAATGGACAGTCGATACATGAGACTATTTTTTGGACTTTATATCCTTTTTCTCCATATCCATAACCCCTCAAGGTCAAGATGATCAGTTTGAGGGTTTGCAAGTGTAGGGACATGTTGGAACAACATTTTTTTATTAGTTTTTGAGGTGCGGCTTACTTTTACAGTATATGGTGCCTTATATAAATGGGAGTCTATATTGCCAGTGTTTCCTTTGGTACAAGAAGGTCATAATCACCCGTAGATGTTAAATGTCAAATCTGACAGCTACGGGTATGCCACAAAGTTTGAGGAAATGCTTTTTGGACTTTGAACCCAACTAACAGCACATCCTCTGTTGCCGGATTTCACATCTAACAGCTAAGGTGATCGATCTTCTTGTGCCAGAAGTAAATGGTCTTATTATATACTCTCTCTCTCTTTATATATATATATTTCGGGGGTATTTTGGTCAATTTATTTCATGTAAAATATTTTTTTGATATTTTTCGAAGATTCAACTATTTTTGATGAACACATTCCTAAAATTTCAAGTGATTTGGATTTGTAGAAAATAAAATAAAATTCAAACACTACCGGACATCTGTGATCGTCAGATCAGCCCAATTTCAATCTGGATCGTTAGGCTCATATGTTCATATGAGCTAGTGCGCTAATCCTTGCTTTTTCCTATATATATATATATATATATATATGCATGAAGCCTTTACTAGTGTATTCAAGTCACAAGACCCTAATATTTCTTGGGTTTCTTCAAGCCTAAATGCAACTTGGCAGGCAAATGGGACGCTCTCTCTTTTTAGATTTCTATCCTGGAGATTAATTAAAGCAATCTCTTTTTTGCCTAATGTTTTTACATTTCCAGATTCAAACCTTGTTCTCTTTTGTGATGTTTGAACCTTCCATTGTGTCTTGACGACAATATCATCATGTCATTAAGTACAATCTCTCTTGACACAAAACACTCTAAAAGCACCATCGGTTCTCCTCCAAAAATAAAAGGATTTGGAGCTACTAAAAAGCTCTAAGTCTGATTGATCTACTGTCTCATTGAAATGAGGTTTAAATTAGATTTTGAGCGGGTGTTTGAGATAGAGCATTTTTGGGCTCCAAATCCAATTTTCTTTAGAAGATTTTTATGTACGAAAGTAGGCGAAAGATGGAGCTTTTGGGGTCCCCAACCATCCAGAAACATGGTTAAAGGTAAATGAAATGTGGTCAAACGGTTTCAGGTGTTACTGTGGTTATACCAAACCATTTTTGCTTTATGTTTGCTGGCATGTGGCATGTGAAAGTGAAATATCTATAAAAATCTAGACTGATAAAAAGTTATTCTGGTTAAATGCTCCCATAAACTGATTCACATCAGCTCAGCTAAACATTTTTTGAATTAGAATAATTGCTTTATGAGATCTGTAGATGCTTCTCACAGTCATTACAGTACGTGTGTTGTTTTTCCCAATGTCGTACTTCTAATGGATCCAGTATGCTATACACTCCCATCTTTTATCTCATAGGCAAAGAGATGTCAGCAACATCCTAATTGCTGAGTTTTAAGACCTGCAGGTAACCAAGGCATACAATTACATTCAAAAGCATGGCTATAAATCCAAGTTGATGGCTGCTGCAGTTCGTAATAAGCAGGACTTATTCAGCCTACTGGGGTAGGACCTCTCTCTCTCTCAAATGGGGCTCTGAAGATATTGCCAATTTTGTAGTCCTCGGGCTTGACATACTATTTTTTCTCAGGGTTGATTACCTCATCATACCATTGAAGATATTGCTGTCTCTAAAGGATTCTGTCACCTCACCTGAAGAGAAATACTCGTACATAAGGAGGCTATCACCTAGTGCAGCTGCGACCTTTAGTTTCAATGAAGAGGAGGTATGGAACCAACCAGAGTCATAATATGTTAATTATCAGAGAGAGAGAGAGAGAACCTTAGAAATCTAGTGATTTTTTTTCTATGCAGCTTGTGAAATGGGACCAGTTGAGCTTTGCATCAGCGATGGGGCCCGCAGCTGAAGAGCTTCTGGGTGTTGGACTTGAAGGATATGTCAATCAAACTCGTCGGGTGGAGGAATTATTTGGTAAGATTTGGCCTCCACCTAATGTTTGAAGTTCTTGCCAAGTCATGGAAACACTCATTATGGTTAGTGTTTGATCCATCATATAGAGTCAGTCCTAGAAATAAAGAGAGTGCTTTGTAGGTGGTACATTTTAGCAAAGGTTCAATTTAGTCTCATAAACTTCAGCTACATTTGGTTGTCGAGTAGGGTTCCTGAAGATTGATTTGAAACTAGTTCGTTCTCTCTCTCTCTTAGATTGGGCTGTGCTAATCACCCTATAATTTGGGCTTCATATATATACTCTTTTTGGTTCTCACACCCTAGTGAAGTGCATGCAGCCATAAATGATCTTTGAACTCGAGGATAGCTTCCCCCCTCTTGCCCCCAATTTGGATGCAGATGTATGTTTTGATCAAAATGTGGTTGCCTCACCAGTAAATTCTATCAATGCCTTATATTTTACCCACAATGCTATCCCAACAGCACCAGTCCATGTTTTGAACGGGCGTATGAATAAGCAGTGAAGTTTAACGGACGTTTTTTGGCCGGGATCCGATGGCATTTTGTTGACCATATTTCTTTCATTTGGAAAATTTGAACATTTACATGAAGGAAGAGCTACTCACATATCCACAACTTGCAACCACACATTTATCTACACCAGGGGACTAAAGCATGGAGAAATTCACCGTCATGCCCCCCCAAAATTAACGTTCTTATGAAAATCTGGGTTTTTTTTGAACGGTTATGCACTCCTCTCCCCCTTCCCCCACCTTTATTTTTTTCTGTTTTTTTTCAAAATGCCTTCACTTTGGAGTTTGGAGCTTTAAGTGAGAAGAGAATTCTTAGCTTCATATCTTCGATCTTGAAGATCGAAAGTTGAGACTTGAAGTGATGATTTCAAGTTTCAAGATATAGAGCTACTAAGACTTAAAAGAATTGAGAAAATGTGGACATTAGACTTTTGAGGTTTGAAGTCTGTACTCGTTGAGATGACTTTAAATCTTGAAGAATGACTTAAACCATAAAGGCCCAAAGTCGATTTCAGATCTTGACGAATGACTTAAACCATGAAGGCCCTAAGTCATAATGAAACCTTGATTTAGACCTTGGAGGTTCAATGTCATAGTAAAAAAAACTTTGACTTCGGACCATTAAAAAAATTGGTCGGAACTTCGGACCTTGCAAGAAACAAGAATTTGGGGTTGGTGTCTATTCCGTGAGTAATTGCATTTCCCAGGTATCCTTGTCAATCATAGCACACATATAAAAGCCCAAAAAAAGGCCATAATGACACTCCTTTTAAAATGCCAAACACCTGAGTGAGAAAGGGTCTTTTAGAAACACAACTAGCTTCCGTATAAACATGCTATTAATTAGCTAGGGTTTGGAAATTTAAGCGTTCTTTCAAAAAATAAAATGAAACCTTCTTCCAAAAAGAACCTTCGAAGACGACAAAATTATGATTTACGGACGAGTCTAAAATAATTGATTAGGAGATTTATTAGAATGATTCGACGAACAGTTTCCTTCTAAATCTCACTTGTACAATTACCGTAATAGTTCTATGAGACAAGGTCCAACATGACATGTGCGAACCCATCCCCACCATCCATAGCATACCATGGATGGTGGAGATAGACGGTTTGAAATATCTTAGAGAGAATTTTATGGATGTTCAGTTATGGTAGAATGGGATTCTCAAAACGTAATTAATTGGTGCAATAAAGTTGTTAAACCAACTTGGAGATTTTATTCAATTTGGGCAGAAATGTTGGATTTATATCAAGGGTTCATCATCTCTTTTTATCATGTTTATCGGGAAGCAAAGATGATGGTTTGGCTAAGCTTAGGGGTGGTTTGGACTCCTCTACTATAGCTTAGCAGATGACCTTATTCATGTATAACTTTGTTGTAATTCTCTTTGATTAATAAACTTCGTTACATTGTTAAAATAAACTAAAATTGTAAGCCCATCCGTGTTTGACAGATTGCAGTGAACTTTTACGGGGATGCGAATTGCTATAGCGGAGACGAGATGGGGTTGAGAGAATCCAAAAGTGGGTAGAAAGTCTTAGGTTCCTTAATGCTTCATATCCATTCCATTACATTAAGGTTTTTTTTTACCTCTGCTCCTCCCAGTCGTCCCACTTACTGTGAGGAGTATTCCGGATATGTTTATCCGGATAATCCAACCTTCATGGCGAGGAATGGAAAGAAAAGCCTGCACCAAAATTTTAGGCACAAATGCCAGTCAACTTCCTCGAGTCCAGCAGCACTCCCCAATTCTTATTGGAGCATATTTATATGAATCTTCATCAACAACATTTTCATCAGAGCATTTTTCCAACTACTTGATGTCGGCATATAGATATAAATATGCACTAAAAATAAATAGCAATAAGTGTGGTAGATTGTGCAAATGGTGGTGGCAGAGCATTATCTGTTAGGATCAGCTGTGATGTAAAGTGCTAGTTACAAAATATGGCGTGGATAGTACTGGAATGTGAATTAACAAAAGTAATGGAAGGGAAAATATTTCTTTTTTTTGGAGAGATATTTATGCCTTCAAACAAGTAGTGAGTCGCAATATTAGGTGGCTGGCAGGCTAGAGGATTTTGATATGTTTTTGACATCCTAAGTGGTCGGACGATTTGCCTTTAAAATATGCTTATCCCATTTTATTTGAAAAAATCACCACTCCCCAAGCTACGGTTGCAGACTTAGTGGAAGTAAGAGGCGATAAGGTTAGTTGGAATATATTTATCAACCATTTATCAACATGTTGAAGGACCTTGATCAAATAGTTATTAGACAACATCGTGAGGATGAATTGGTGTGGGAAAGAAAAAATGATGGACAATTTTCTATCAAATCTGTTTATAAAATTCTCTTTCATGATAGAGTGCGGTGGAATTTTCTTAAGATTAAGCAGATTTGGAGATGACCTATTTCTCATAAAATGCAAGTCTTCCTATGGTTAGCGGCTCAAGATAGAATTCTTAATGTGGATAATCTCATTAAGAGGGGGAAGATAATTATGAATGTTTGCGTAATGTGCAAGGAGGATGGCGAGTCTAGGGCGCACTTGTTTATATATTGCTCGTTCGTATCCAAAATATGGTGGTGGTGTTTTCAATTGATGGGGATAAATTTAACCCTATAACAATATGTGTTGGATCCGGTTGTTCAATTGGAAGTGCCATTACCAAAAATTGGAGGATATATTTGAAAAATTCTACAGGGAGTTATTTTGTGGGACGTGTAGCTGGAGAGGAACCGAAGAACTTTTGAAAGAGTGGCTTGCAGTTTCGAAAGAGTGTTGATTAACATCAAACTTTTTCTCCGGTCTTGGATGTCAGTTAATAAGGAAGGGAGGAGTATATCTAAAACTGATGTTATGATTAATCTCTCTAATCTTTTTCAACTGGATGTGCCTAGAAATAAACTTTGTTTGAGATGGAAGTCCCCAAACCACGGAATCCTTAAGTTAAATTTTGATGTTAGGTCTATGGGTAACCCAGACCCAGCTGATTTTGGTGGAGTGGTCCGTGATTGGCTAGAAAATGTAATTCTTACTTTTTCTGGTCCTTGTGGTGTTACCACGAAGAATCATGCTAAATTATCTGCATTTATGTTTGGCTTGAAGGTTATAGTGGCCAAAACCTTTGACACAGGGTTTATTATTGAAGGGGACTCGTTGAATGTTATAAAATGATGTAAAGAAAAAACAACGATTCCCTTGGCAACTCAAGCTGATCGGCCTGCAAATCTTCGACTTAATGTTAGGTTTAACGGTGTCACTAGAATATGTGTATGGAAAGGCTAATGTTTTGGCTGATTCGTTGGCTAAAAGGGGAGTTGAGTTGGAAGCTCCGGTGGTTGCTGATGATTTTAAATCTTTGATGTAATTGGTTTCTATTATTAATAAATCTTGAACTTTGTCAAAAAATAAGTGTGGTAGATAGTGGTGCTAATGTGTTTAAGTCTCAAATGATTGAACAAGGTGAAAGGAAAATTTCCCTGCCGTATTTTGACCTCATCCAATCTCCTAAGTAAAGGTTTTGGAAACTCGAATTCCCACCCTTGTGCACGGAAATTGGAACGAGAAGATGATATTTCTAAAAGATAAAAGTTTATATAAGATTGAAACCTTAAAATATAACTAAAAAATCCATTCAAACGATTGTTATGGTGTTGGAAAACCCCTAAATCGATCATCTTGATATCAAGATGTGTAAATATTAAAAATAAATAAAAATTCAAGTTCTAAAAATAGTGCATCTTGCAACATTATATCTGGCCTGTCTATTTTCAAGATTTTTATATATTTATAGATCTCCTTGCTTTGAACTATTTTTTGAGTTGAAAATGTTATAATTACAAATGAAAAAACAGATTCTCAGGCCATCCTAAAAAAATTTTACACCAAAATTATATCTTATGATAAAATTTGGAGGTGTGCCTTACTTTGATTGTTTAAGGTTGCAACTTACAACCACACCCTTTCTTTTCGACTGACAGCCAAGAGGGGGAATACGTGAAATATGATGGTTGATTCAGATTTGAGAGCCACACTAGCCATAATTTTGACAAAAAAATGAACATGCTTGGAGGGTCTCTTTTTTCTCAAAAAAGGGCCCTCCGCATCTTATGGGCCACTATCTAACATTAGGATGTTATGTATAATGCTATTCCTGATAAAATTTGCTGTGGATCTAAATCTTCACCCCATTTTTATGGAAAATAAGCACTTTCCTTTTCCACTCTGAAACCCAGTCCATGCATAGTCTGAAAGTTTGCTTGCTTGATCCCCATCCATTGGGATGACCAAATCAAATGGTCTCATAAACTTGCCATAATGGCCTTAATGAGTGACTGATAATGTTTTAAACAACTCTAGGAAATTAAAAAGAACCATACCAGCATGTCCACTTTCTTATTCTTGCATCTGACAATTATAAGATTGGACAAAGCCAAATAACTCAGCCTTCCAAAGATCATCTCGAGACCCCAGCCTGTAACCTGTCGCACGAGAAACAGATATTTAATACATGAAAAATGAAAGCATCCGGCATCGCGAGCAAAAGCCTGAACAAAGATGAGCTCAGGTTAATATCTTCTTCTGAATACTAATGCAGTATGAACACAAGGTCATCTAACAAGTGCAACAGTTCAATCTTCCATTCTATTAAAGGTTAACATGTTAAAAAAAAAAAAACAGTTCAATCTTCCAATATGCACTGACCTGTAAATGCACATTTTATCCAGTCTTTTGGGTTGTTCAGATAGTAAGTCAATGATTAGACAAAAGGAACGATGAAGACATGATTGAGGGATAAACTTTCAGAGTTTATTGTAGAATACTAGGATGAAAATTAAAACCCTTCCTCACCAAGAAAATGAATGTGTGTGTGTGTGAGTGTTAGAGAGAGAGAGAGAGAGAGAGAGAGAGAAAGAGAGAGAAAGAGAGAGAGCATTCACTCAAAAGGGAAGCCTCCACTGTTTTTATGATGGTGTAAATTGCCTTGTAATTGATGGACTAAAACTACAGTGAGAGAAATGTAAGCATGTTACAAGGGGAATGAGTGAGAGAACAAATGCGGTGTAGGTTTGACCGTACCAGCCATTGATAATAGTTCTACTGCAGGGTTAGTCAAATCCATAAAGTTGGAGGTGGACGGAAAGAGGCATCATAGGAGTATTTTCATATGATCTAATGGCTTATCATAATGAGAATAAGATCCAATAGCTGAATGGCTATATTTCACACAATGTAGATTTAATTCTAGAAGATCATTCCTAATGTCATAAAATAGCTATCTGATGAACTAGTGGGACACACAAGGAATGGGTGATCATTGGTCAGATGCTTCCAGCAAAACCAATTCCCAGGGTGTGACGGGCGGTGTGTACAGGGTCTGGGTATATATTCACTGTGGCATGCTGATCCGCGATTACTAGCAGTTCCAACATGTTCCCGAGTTGCAGAGAACAATCTGAACTGAGGCAATCTTTCCAGATTCGATCCACCTCACAGTCTTGCTTCCCATTGTAATTGCCATTATAGCACGTGTGTAGCCCAGCCCATAAGGGCTATGCAGACTTGACGTCATCCCCACCGTGACACTACCATATTCTTTTGCAACATGATAAAAAGATTTTGCTCAATTCTTTTAGGGGCTCAATAATTTCAAAAGAAGGCAGTGACAGGATATACATACTACCCTGATATGCTAGTAATGCGCTTCAACTAGAGCTTCATAATCAAGAGTTGACTAGAGTTTCGAGTACACAAAGCCACAACTAAAAACATTAATACAATCAATGAAACATGAGCAATGCAGGTACATGTTGAAGTAGAAATTCAGATGATGAAACCTGAGTGGCAATATAATCAATGCAGCATCTAATATGCATGAAGGACAGACATCAAAAAGAAATTATGATATATCAATACCACACTTTAGCACAAACATAATGATCAGTATCCTAAATCTACACAATAAGCATGGCACATTTAAATCACTTCATTTCTGGGTGAACAAATTTGACTTGCGATGTCTAAAAATATGAATACTTAACTTCGATTTCTCATTGAAGTAAATACCTTCATGCCTAATTTAAAGATAATATTGAGCACCAAAATCATAGCCGCCCTCCATATGTTATTTACAAAGTCAATACAAATAGAAACTTGCAGGTGCAGCAAATACAGGCAGCAACTAACGAAGGAAAAGTAGAACTACCCATCATCATTATCAGAGCTTTTTCCCATCTATTTGGAATCAGCTACACAAATCTTGGTCCCTCATTCTGCTCTATCAAGGGCCATATCCTCAGTAAGGCCGTAAGTCATCATATTTTTTCTTATTACTTCCAACCATGTCTTTTTGGGCTACCCTTGCCTTTTCTAAGCCTCCACTTGAACCAACTCGTACCTCCTACAGTTGTTGTACTGGGTAAAACTACCCATACTAAAGCTAAATTACTCAACATCTACTATGATTCTTACAAGAATCAATCCTCATACTAGAAATTCAAACCCACAACATTGTAATTGCTATTATTGAAATCCCCTCTTCCTCAAAAAAACATCATCGAAATCGCCTCAAACTTTATTATTTAAATCTTAAAAGGAGAAATATTGCAGTAGTTTTGAATTGTCACTCTCCTAGTGTGAGCATCTACCAGTGAGCACAAGTTAATAGCATGGCCAAAGAAATTCATGAGTTATGCCCCGTACCAAAGGCACAGTAGTCCATCTACTACAATTGCCACAGGAACCAATTCTCATACAGGAACGTTATATCTACAATACTATAACTGCTTGTAGTAACAACCCTCAACTGCACGATTGAAATGTAAAAGGAGAAATATGCAATAGCTTTGAACTTTCTATCTATAATTGAGAGCAAATGAATATTAGTCAGAGAGCAATCAAAGAAGTTCATCATTTATGCCATGAACAAACAGCCAATGAATATTATCTCTAAAGCTCCATTAATGATAGATAGGTCAGACATAGAGGTAAAAGCCCAAGAGAAGCAAAAGAACATGATTAATGTAAATGAAATACGGAGGGACCATGGATATCACTCTGCACATTGCAACAGAAAGAGAATTACAAGCACTACAGAATTACATGCAGTAACTACCACATTACCATCTGCAATAACACTGTTATTTGACATATTCAAAGTTCTCGATATTCATCTCTGATAAAATGGTTGTCAAACATTTCTTTGAAGTTGTTACATTGTTACATATATAAATTAAAAAAAGAAAAAGAAAAAAAGAATGGGTATTATGATCAATGACACCACAACAGCAGGGAACTCAAGCATAAAAATATACATAATAGGAAATTAGAGCTTAGGAAGAAATTTGTTGGAGAACTGTACCGCTGTACATGGGTGCCAAACCAAACCCTTACGGAAAAGCTCACAACAAAAGAAAAAAATGCAAACCATAAACTTTCTCAACACCTGAAGCAGGAGCACCACAGAAGGAGTCACAATTTTCACACAGGTCTAGCAACCCAGACAGAGGACCCAGGACAGTCATGCCAGAAGGGCCAATCCCATTAACCCAGCCAGGGCCTTCTCTTTTTCAATTCACTAACTTCATTGCCACTATCGTTCACTTTCATCCACTTGATATGATCAAGGTCCACTCAGGCTAAGCAGCAACTCTTAACCATATAGATAAGAACAACAAAAACAACAACAAAGTATAGTGGATCTCGCTTGCTCTTTCCTTTCCAAATGATAGTTGTCAATGTTAGCCTTAGCATCCAAAATGATTAATAGCTCCACACCCGAGAGGAGTAAGTGTTCAGAACCTTTTTCACTATAAAGAAACATTCTCTTTCAGAGAGACAGCTATTTTCAACAGCAATGGCACCGCTTGAGCTATAAACAAACACAAACTGTAACAAATCTGTACATTTTAAGCATTTCATGGATGTTAAGAAAATCAGACTAGGTACACCTGACACTGAATAATGGTCTTTCCAATCCTGAAACCAGGAACAACGGTGAAAGCAACCTTGGCCCTTCCCCTTCGTTGTTGTTGGGTCGGAAAAACGCCTCTTCGAGCAACGTCTTCCATGTAAACCATAGAGAAATCCAACCCCTTCCTCACTTGGAAGATCCGGACCCTTGGTTCAAATGAGAAAGCCAGCTTATGAAGCAACCAGACGGATCTAGCCATCTTCAAAAATGCCATGTGCAGTGCGGGCATGGAACCCTCCACCTGCTCCTCCTCCATTCTTGGGTGAATGAGTTTCAAATACTTTTCCCTGCAATACCTAACAAACCCAACATCGCAACTCAAAGCTCTGAGGCCCTCATCAACCTCACCTCCATTCAAGCTCATCAGTTCAGCAAAGTATAGCTCCAATTCTTCATCGACATCACTATCAATCTTCTGCTTCGTCTTCTTCATGGTGGAGCAGCAAAAGTCCTCCTTGTCGAACCCACTAAACATCCCCAAGCAAACGTAGGAAAGGAAGGCGTAGCGGTTGTGCCCTCTCTTTGCATAGTTGACATTCTTATGAATCGAATTTGCAGCCAAATCCAAATTCCAGCCCGCCTCTCTCATCCTGTCGATAAGCATCTTTGTGAAGCTGTGAGCCCCTCTGAGGCTCTCTTGCAGCAAAGAATCAAAAACCCCAACCGAGAGAAGAATGCTGTTCTCCTCCTTCAACTTCTTCTCCAATTTTGAGCACAACCCATTAACCCTCTCCATCTCTTCTCTCAGGAAACAGACCTCCGCGTCCTTCAAGTCGATCTCGGACTGCAGACGGTTCACCATCATCTCGTAAGTCCTGAGCATGCTCTGCCTCTCTTGTACCCTCGCTTCCAATTGGGAGCACTCGAACGACGAGGAGGAGGATGGCAGATCCTTCGCATACAAGCGTTTGAGCTCCGAAAGCTTTTGTAGCTGAGAAATCACGGCTCTATCAGCCGCCTTGATGTTATCGACTTCAAACGGTGTGTGCGCCGTCTGTAACTGAACATATGCCCCTTTCACAGCTGAGACATTGGCAAAGATGCACGAGATTAGGGCTTCCAATGCCTGGTATCTATCCTCAATGGAATCCTCCTTGTTGCTGCCGTCCATGTTTTGAGGTAATGTGTTCTTGGGTGTGTCTGGTTTGATCACCACCACCTTTTGGTCTGTGATAAACTCGTCCACAGATTCAGCACCCACGGTGCCATGACCGTCTTCTTCTTCTTGTTGTTCTTCTTCTTCTTCAGCAAAGAATTCGATGGTTCGGGTCTTACAGGCAATGGCGAACCGCTGCAACATATCTGAGATTTGGGGGGTTTTCACTGATTCTTCCATCTCAAATGAGAGGGTTCAAGAGGTTGTATGCACGCTTCACGGTTGCCAGGATCAAATTTGCAGAGGATGCTGTTTCAGGGAAGAATGAAGGAAGAAGACTCACCATCCCTTCCTCTTGACGTTTCTCTCTCTCTCTCTCTCCTGAAACGTCTCTCTCTCCTTTGGTAAGAGGAAATGGAGGGGCGGCGAAAATTTGTTTTATTTTTTTTGGGAATATTTTGTATGCACGGCACGAATGGAGAGTCCACCAAGGAAGACAGTCCAAAATAAATTTGAGACGAATTCAAAAACAGGAAATTTGTTTTAGAGGAAGAGAATTCAGTCAATATCTTTTCAAAAAAGAAAAGTTGTTTTGATTGGAATTTAAAAGTATTTTTTTACCATATTATTTAAATAAAAGAGTTTATATAAGGTCAATGTGCACTTCAAAAATTCCCTAGAAAAATTGTTTTAACCTCAAAAAAAAAAATTTCAAATTAATCATCTCATCCACAAGATGTATAGATATGAAAAGAATGAACTTCAAGTTTTAAAAATAATACATCTTATAATGCATTTTTGGACCATCTATTTTCAAGTGTTCATAAAATCTTTTTGATCATACTATTTTTTAAGATTTAAATTTTATAACCAAATTGATATAAAAGTTTTTAGGCCGTCACAAAGATTTTGCCGTATGGAAACATCAATCTTTCAATACTATTCGAAGGCATGCCTTACTTTGATGGTTTAGGGCGTCGGCCTTATACAAACCGCACCCAATTTTAAAACCTTAAAGAGGGCTCAATCTCGCCGCCCACAGAGATCGGACGGCATGGAGTCGGATAAAACCGTCTTGGGATTATTTTATATTTTTTTGTTTGGAGCTTCTTCATATCATCCTCAAAAGGTTGGGGTATATGGGCAAGTTTGGAGACGTGATCATTCGCTCAGAAGCGGAGGAGCTAGGGGTGGCAATGGGCCGAGTGGCCCCGTCCAATGTGGCCCAAGCGCTAAGCTGGGCCAGGCGGCCAACCCCTCAGGTCCAAGCTGGGCAACAAGTTTTCACCTGCCCGTTTCGGCCTAGCCCTCTTTTTTATTTATTTCGTCCTCAAATATTTGTTTGTTTTTTTTATGTAGCATAATCCGGCGCGGCATAGAGCTACTAGGGTCGGGCCTAAGCCAGGACCTATTTGGCCCGGTCAGGGCCGGGCTGGGCCATAGCGCGCCGTATGGGACCAGGGCCAGGGTAGGTAAAGAAGAGGGCCCAGGCCTAGGTGGAGCCACGGAAACAGTAGTCTATTTAAAATATTAGAAACACTCGTCCGAATGTTGTCCAACACACCCACTCTAAAATATTGCAAGTTTTGATTGTTTCATTCAAAGTCTCCCGAGAATTGTGTGGGAAGAAATAAAGGAGAAAAACCAAAACTAAATTTTGAATTTTCTTTCTTTCACTTCCTAACAAACGTGGAGACAGGATATTCCCACACTACTTTTATATTACATCTGACCGGAAGAAATAAAGGAGAAAAACCAAAACTAAATTTTGAATTTTCTTTCTTTCACTTCCTAACAAACGTGGAGACAGGATATTCCCACACTACTTTTATATTACATCTGACCTGTATTTGTGTCTAACCCGAGAGAGAGCAGCGTCTCTTGTGGGTAACAAAAAGACTTACTTCGATTTTCTTTTTAATGGATACAAACGTGCCATGCGTGAGCAGAAGGCATCATACTCTCTCCCCCACTAGGGATGGCAATGGGTCAGGTATGAGTTCGGTCTGACTGGATCTAGACCCAGACTCAAAAGTATTCAAGTCTAGGTTTTGGATCTGGATTCGACGGGTCCAAAAGTTGGACCTATACCTGTATCCGTTGAGTATCGGGTTTGGTTGGGTCCATTGCTACCATCACTATGAGCTTCTTCTTTTTTGTTTTTTTTTTAATCACATGGCCATATTATTGGCAACAAAGTCACAATCACATCTCATTAGATTTCAAGCAGTCTGATTTGTCGTTTAATAGCTAAAGATGACTACAAATTATTATTCTTAATACACCCAAAAGAATAGGGCTTAAAGTATTTTATCTCCAACAATTTATGGGTATGGGTTGGGTCCAAACCCGAACCTAGACTTGAATAGTGTTCGGGTCCAAGTTTTGGACCTAGATCTGACCCACAAGTCCAAATGTTGGACCCATACCTAGACCCGTATTTTGTATTGCCCGCTGGGTCCTAGGTCGGGTCCGGGTTCATTGTCACCCCTATCCCCCACCTACTCTACTTATATTCGAGTGAGCATTGCATAAGGTTGTACATGTAAACAAAAAGTAGGCCCACTTTCAAACTTTGGTATAAGATGCAATTTTGGTGCCAAATTTTTTTAGGATGGCTCGAGAATCTATTTTCATATCTAACTATAACATTTTAAATTCCAAAACGAATTAAAATCAAGTAGAACTCTGAACACATGAAAAACTTTAAAATAGAAGGTTTAGATAATATATTGCAAGATGTACTATTTTTAAGACTTGAAATTTATATATATATATCAACGTTGAGATAATCAATTCAATGGTTTTCCTATAATTTGGATGTAGATTTGAGGTGCACATCAGTTCTACAATTTAATGTGTCAATCTTATGTATACTTTTCTTTTTAGAATTATTACCCTCTTATCTGGAATCTTGAATTGCTATGCATCGCTTAAATGAAGTAAGAGATCGCAAGAATCCCTCTATTGTATGTATATGGTAAGCCTTCAATTTTTTTTCTAGTGATAAGCTATCGATTTCTTTTTGGTGTTATTATATGCTAAAGGATCATTTATAATACGTATGCATGTGTCAAAAGATTTTATTCTCCCATAGAAGGATATTGTCAGTGATTCGCTCAAGTAAAACCTAATCTAGGAGCATTTTAGGAATGGGTGTGGTCGCAGCTTTAAACAATCCAATTAAGGCGCTCATCTAAATTTTATCGTTGCATGTAATTTTGGTGAAAAATATTCGTAAGGATTATCTCAAAATCTATTTTCATATCTAATTATAAAATTTTAAATTTAAAAAATGGTTAAAATCAAGTACGTCTACAAACATATGAAAATCTTGAAAATGGATGATCTAGATGATATATTACAGGATGCACTATTTTTAAGACTCAAAATCTTTTTGTTTTTCATATTCATATATCTCAATGTTGATATGATCAATTAGAGGCTTTTTCAACATTAAAACAACCTTTTCAAATAGATTTTTGAAGCGTATATGTAATTCTACATTTTAGAGTTGCAACCTTATATAAACTTTTTCATTTAAAAATTCAAAATTTTGGGTGTACCAATACTTTAAAAAAAAAATATCAAATCCGAAGCGATAAAAATTTAATGTAAGGAGATTGAAAAGAGAATCTTCAATTTTTGGAACATGAAATATAACTATTAAGGAAAAAATAAGTCAAAAGTATTTCTTTGGAAATAATCTTTCATTGAATTGATTTTTAGATACATCCTAAATTTCAGGTCAAAAAAATCTCCTCAGATAATTAGTTGGAAAAAGTTTATATAAATACGAGGCTCTAAACAATCAAATTAGGGCGCACCTCAAATATTTTACTAAAAGAGGTTGTTTTGGTGCCCAAATATCCTCAAATTGATCATCTCAACCTCAAGATTCATGGACATGAGAAAAAAAAATCGATTTTCAAGTTTTTATAAGTCTGCTCGATCTACACTATTTTTGAAGCTTTAAATTTTATAATTAAATATAAAATGTATTTTAAAGCTATAACAAAAAAACCAAATTTCTCGATATTATTTGAAGGTGCGCTTTAGATTGATAGTTCAAAACCTCAGCTCCATAACAACTGCACCCTTAAGTTCTTTTGCCGGGGCAATAAGGACATAGTATGGTCCCATGAAACATGGGTGAGGTGTTTTTCTTTGAGCCCCACAAGGGTGCCCAGTGACAATAATCTAAAAGCAAGCGTGAAGGAGAGCGTAGACTGTAAGGAAGAGAAAGGAATATAATAGTGGACACAAATGATGAACCTGTGCACTAAATGGTGGCACTGGTCCCACCATATATTTGATTAATTAATCCTTTACCGCAACTGCTCTTTGGTTTTGGCAGTTTTATAGCCAATCATTCACAGCGAACCACAAAATAAATGAAATTAAGGGTGGTGACAGCCATGGGCACTCGCCCATGTCCCTCTAGGGCTGGCGGGTCGGGCCGGCCCAAAACTAAAAAAAAAGAAAAAAAAAGAGAAAGAGTTGAGCTGAATTAGACCGACACTAGGCCTCGGATCATAATTTGTGGCCTGTGCCCTACGTTTTTAGTTACCAACCTATTGAAATTAGCCGGGTGGATGCATATATTTAAGGAAGAAGAGTAGCAGATTAGATTGATGGGATGGAAGTGAAAGAAAACAAAAATGTTGTAGCGTTCCCTTAAGAAGGAATTTGTTGCAAGAGATTTGAATTTACTAACTTAGAGTTGAAAATAAAGTCAGAACTACAATTGTCGCTTACCTTTCCCCCGACAAACACGACGCGATACAGAGAGACCATTTGGGAAAGGGGTTGGATCTCGTGGTCACCCTTCTTATATTTCAGTTTGACGTTGTGGTTTTTTATTCCTGGAAGCTTTTAAAAATAATAAATTATTTTAAAAACGGGTAGGGTCATTCCTATTTACGCTTTTACAAACAACTCATCATTTTAAAAATGTGTAAGGGCTGTATTCCCCATTGAATTACCCAATATATATAAAATACAATACATAGAGAAATGGATATTGCTAGACCATGAAGAGTAAGTTCAATTCACTTCAGACTGTGGCTAGCAATCTATTGTGATTAAAACTTATTTATAAAAAACATTTGAAATTGTGTGATTTTCAAAATTCCTCTAAAAAAATAAAATGAAGTCTAACATTCAAAAAAAAGAAGAAGTCATATTACTTATGACATCTTAAAAAACTATATAAAGTTATTTACTTATACATGTCTCTTAGTTCATTGGAACAAAGCTCATCATTTGCCCATATCTCTCTCTCTCTCTCTCCAGTTATTCATTACGTTTCATATTACATCATCGTTGATAGAACTATTCATACTTGATCATGGCCTTTGTTATTTCTATTAAGAGATTTTTTTTCCAAATATTCATAAAAGATGAATTATTTAATATAAAAAAAGTTCATATAAGGTTGCAGTCTTAAAATGTGGAAACAAAGTGCACCTAAAAAATCCATCGTGAAAT